TCCGTCTCTGCGTTTAAATACAAATATTTTTGTATATCAGAAGGCAGTTTAGAGTCAGTCCATACATAGAAGAAAACAAAAGCAAGCCATACAAAGTCAGGTGGTGTGTGTGTGTGTGTGAATGAAGAATCCTGGAAACAGGTGTGCAGAATGTCAGCAAAAAAAGTACTAATTGTCCAGTGAAAAAGAAGTTTCTAAAGGGGTATGTGTGTTTTAGTGTGTACGTACAAACTTTTTTGCATTATTTCAATGTTTTATTCCTTACATATAGTCACACGCACAAAAACGCACTAATTGCACGTAATTTCTCTGTCACAGACATGCACATTGAGCACAGGCTTTTATTACAAGCAAGCCTAAGTTTATAAGTTAATTTTCATTTAACCCAATAGCGGAGACACCGGCGCCAAAGGAGCCTTGCCTTGGGCCTTTATTAGGAGACACTTCCCTTGGTTTTTGCTACCCCTTTTTATTTATCTTCAAGAATCCCTCATCAACTTGCTCCCCCCATCCCACCATCATGACCCACCCACAATGATATAAGCTTAGTGCTATAGGTTCAACCAGTGTCGGAGGCAGGATTTTCGTTAAGTGATTCAAAAAAGAAAAAGTTAAAAAATTAAAAGAGACTATAGACAATGGGAATTGAACCAACGAGATTTTGAATCCCCTTGACTACTAATTAAGCTATACTTTTGGGCTATGTCAAGAGATTTCAAAATACAATATATATAGAGGTACAAACCGAAATTTTACCTTATATGTAAAGTATAATTTTCGGTGAAGGGAGGTCAGGTGAACCCCTTCCACCTAGTAGCGGATCCTCATAGAGCATTATGGGTGCTCAAACACCCATTATCTTTGACTAGATCTAGTAGATTTACATAGGCAATTAACAAAAAACTTGGATAAGTATTGAGTGAGCACTCATAACTAAACTTGTTTTCCTTCTTCTTTTAGAATTCTTATCCCCGAGCACCCAGGGATAAGAATAGTACTGAATATAGCGTATTAATAATGTGTGTGTATGTATGTGTGCGTGCGCGTGCGTGCGTGTGTGTCGGGGGAGGGGGGGGGGGGGCATATCTAAAAAATTTAAAGGCTGGACACATCTAATTAAGATTCTGAATCTGCCTCTGCTACCCATCACGAGCAAAATCACGATAAAATGCTAAACCGATCAGTACATGAAGGGGTAGGAATGAATTCGGAAAAATAATACATTTATTATCTTGGTATTATTAATTCTTTGTTTTGTACTATTTTTCAACAATGTATAGCTAATACATGTATCAGTTATACACCCTGTATAGTACTATTCTTATCCATAGCAAACCATGGCATTAGAATACCATAATTTTTAATATATGGATAAGCATATATAAGGACAGAACTGCCCTTTCAGAACCTTTTCTAATGAATGTGGAGGGTATTTTTGTAAGCAACTAATTTGTTTAAAAAAATATGGAATGCATGTTATTTTTAATGCACTAAACTAAACGGTCGATAAGAAATAATCCCAGTATAACTAATTTTAGCATTATTAATACGCCATATTCAGTACTATTCTTATACATCCTACCAAACGAACCCAAAGAATCAAAGTTAACGAACCCGGAGAATTAAAACTTTAGCAGATTAAAATTTGCGTTGTTCCACCCTGCCTCATTTACATTCCTAAACTTCAAGCCAGAGCCCCTCAATCCTCATCAACCTCCCACCATTTAAAACACCACTCCACCACCACTACTCAATTTTCGACCCAATCATTCATTTGCTTAAAATGTAATGATATTGAACGAGTGATGCATGAATATGAATATATCATTTTGGATTCCTTTAAAATACATAAAATTTTGGTGTAAAAGTAGACATATTATGATCGAAATAGAAAAAATGACACTGTATACATTGCTGCTCTGAAAGTAATATATATATTATACATTTTTGGCTACTAAATATAAAAAGTTTGATGGTTGCCCTTCATATTACCTAATGAGTCCATGTAACATATAGTTGTTAATTACCTCTTTAATTTTATCCATCATCAAGGATCCCCTCTAGCGCCACCCACACATGCACTTCTAATTCTTTTGTTTTCAAATACATGGGGCATACCCTTCTCTTTTTCTTTTCTTTTATACTACCTTTCTTTGACGATTTTTGAAATTCTCAAAAGAGCCAAAACCAACATCCCCACCTCCACCTTCTTGCTTCTCTTTCATAATTTTGAGCTATAAAAAGTACGCGTGATACTACGAAAACAGAAGCACCCTCACCCCTCCAACTTATTAAAACCATATTTTTATAATTTTCAATTATATTTACTTGGTTTTCCTCTTTAATCACCAGATCCTAGGACACTCACTTTGTTTATCAAGCATACTATTACTTTATTAAGGAGAGGGACTAGTGAGGAAAAAAGAAGGAAAGGTCAAAATTTTGCATTGCTGCTAATGCTTTTATTATAGTACACGATATTTTTCTATTTTATTCATTTTAATGATTTTTATCCAACAGTGTAACTCCAACTAGCTAAAGGGATTCATTTTCCATGTTGGTATTTATGGTTTTGAATAAATTAACATCTATAGCCTTAACGTTTGGTAGGATGATATAAGCTTGTGAACTTCTAATTTCAGACATGGCATAACGTTTCTATAGTTAAAAGTAGGGGTATTATCACTTATTTACATTCGGTAGCCAAAAAAAATATAAATTTTGTATAATTTTTGTATATAACATACGGAATGTATATATATACAAAAAATATATATTTTTCGGCTATTATTTTGAGAGTGGATATACAATGTCATTTTCCCTTAAAAGTACATGTTATTACAAGTAAGCGAAAAGTTTAAAAAATTTTAAATATAGAAACTTATCATTTTCAAGTAGATTAAAGGAAAGAAGAATAGTTAAAATGGAGTAATAAATATGTTTTCGGCTTAGATAACATTTAGCAAGCGATCGACTTGATGGAGTCAATTAAGCAAAACTTAATAAAAGAAACATGTATGCAAAATAAAAGCATTTCTTGATTTTTTTGCAAGAACTTTCATGTCAATTACAAACAATCAAATTACAGATTGTCCATATATATATATATATAGTTATTTGTGCATTTCTGTCACTTGATTAAAGGGAGTTGGAAAAAGGGTCCATTGTGTTTTTCTCACATCATATGATTTTATTTTCTTTCTTTACAACCAATGGGCCATGTTACCCTTTTTCATATTTCCATGTCTTTGGTTTTGGAATGAAGAAGATGGCCTCTGTCTATTAAAATACCAACAAAAGCAAACATACTTTCTTAACTTGTAAAGCTCCACTTCAAGGAATAAATTTGATTACTTGACCAAAAGTTCAATAATTTGGTTCACAATACATAACTCCCTTTAGGTTCATGCTTTGTCATTCTCTTGCTTACAACTCTTGATATATACTCCTTTTGGGTCTATGAAAGAATCTTTGAATACCCTATTGGATTTGCAATGAGATTTGGCAAGAAAACTTTACCACTTTGAATGTGAAGTTGGTATTCATATTCCCTATCTACTTAAACAATGACGACGACAAAGAATCCAGTGTAATCCCATAAGTGGGATCTGAAGAGAGTATTGTATACGCAAACTTTACCCCTACTCTATAAAGATAGAGAGGTTGTTTTCGATAGACCCTCAGCTCAAAGAACCCTATCTACTTAAAACGTCTCACTTAATTAATATTTCACTAATACGAACAACTAAAATAGATTTGAAAAAGAGTAATAATATAAATGACCGACTTCTTTTTCTTTTTCTTTTCTGAAATGTCAAATATTTTAAAATAAATTCAGTTTGTCAAAACCATGAATATTTGAATCGGACCTAGTAATATATTCTTGAATTAAATGAGTAAGTCAACATCCTCTATTCCTAGGAATATTTCATGGTATATTGAAGCATGGAATAAGGGTCAAAAGAGTGGAAATTGAAGTAAATATGGAGGATTTGGTGATGTGATTTTGATGAGTGTGTTTCAATCATACATAGCAATAAGGTTAAGTCAATTGTCAGCTTCTGCAGACAAGAAACACTTCTCTCCCCACAAACTCGAGTTGCTGCCACCACTCTCTCTTCTCTTGAGTTTCTCCCTAAATGCAGGCATGTTGAACTCCTTGAAAAGCACAAAAGCACTAGTGTCTAAGTGGTTTTAACAAGCCTTTTACTTTCTAAAAAGACACCAACAAGAGTTGCATAGAAATGAATTTATGTATACCGAAATTATAATTTTTTTGCACTATCAATGCAATTTAACCAATTATATCAGGTTATTTTTCTATTTTTTAAGTTACCATATCAGACTTGCTATAATGAGTTACATGTTATTGCGGAGCAGAAGAGCCTTGCGTAACTGGTAAAGTTGCTGCCATGTGACCAGGAGGTTACGGGTTCGAGCCGTGAAAACAGCCTCTTGCAGAAATGCAGGGTAAGGCGGCTGCGTACGATAGACCCTTAGTGGTCCGGCCCTACCCCGGATCCCGCACATAGCGGGAGCTTAGTGCACCGGGCTGTCCTTTTTTATGTACTGCGGATCAATTTAACATGATGCGGTAGCGGATCTAGAATTTTGTTACTGGTTCCCGGGAACCCTGTAACTTTTGCATTACGTTATATTTCTATTAAGAAATCCACTAAATATTTACAAATATTTAATTGTGAACCAAGTAATAATTTGAGATTACGGTAGGAACCGATAAACTTCAAATCCTGGATCCGCCTCTGACATGATAGTGTAAGAAAAACTTACACAATGTCAGCGCTTATAACTTAAACTCAATTGAAATTACTTCACATTCAATTTAGTTCTCTTGTTTTCTTTTATTTACTAAAAATTCTACAGCATCCTGTTGACAATTATTTGTTGATTAAACTCTCAAAATCTGTTAAAGTCCCTTGGTGTTCTCAAACCAGCTACAACTGGAAATTTTGACAAATTTTCAAGCAAATTGAGGTTACTTAAGCCAAAAGATAGAGAAATTGATGTTAATTGCGGCATTTCCAGGCTCAAGTATTGGGCAAATACCAGTTATATTGTTTCGCAATATGGTTGAAAATTATATTATAGATTTATAGTTAATTTTCCTCCAAGTAAAGATGATGAACATCACTCAGGCAGCTAAATGCCTTTGAGTTTACAATAAGCATACAATCCAGATCCCAGAAAGCCAACACATTGGCCAACAACATTCAACTGTCATTAAGAAAATGGTAATATATATCAGTATTTGTTTTAACTAATAGTAAATTATTGAAGTGTATTAATTATACTAACCAGATCAAATGGAAGTTCTCTGAATACTATCCAGCCGAATCCAACAGTAAAAAAGTCCTGCATATGAAGTCATTATTGTTACAAAAGAGCACATATGAAAAAATAGCCAAAAAGAAAAACTAATCTAAAGGGGCTTTGTTCACTTTCATTTTAATAATTGAAAGAATGTATATTTTTCAATTGTGCGGCTCGGTGCACAAAATATTCCGCATTCACGCAGGGGTCCAAGGAAGGATCGCACCAAAGAGGTGTGACGTAGACAACCTACCCTAATGCAAGCATTAGTGGCTGCTGCATTCACGCAGGGTACAGGGAAGAGTTGCACCTAAGGGGTGTGATGTAGGCAGGCTACAGTAGTGCAAGCATTAGTGGCTGCTGCATTCACGTAGGGTCCAGGGAAGGGCCGCGCCCTAAGGGGTGTGCTGTAGACAGTCTACACTAATGCAAGCATTAGTGACTGCTACATTCACGCAGGGTCCAGGGAATGGCCGTACCCTAAGGGGTGTGATGTAGACAACGTACCCTAATCCAAGCATTAGTGGTTGCTTTCACAGCTCGAACCCGTGACCTATAAGTCACACAGAGACAACTTTACCGTCGCTCCAAGGCTCTCCTTCAATTGCATAGGCATTAAGATATCACACACCTTAAGATTTCCGCATACTGTCTGTGTAAGTGCTGAATTGATAGTTGTATTTAGGAATACACAATAGTTCAATAAGAAAGCCAGAACACAAGATAGAAAAATCACAGCCTGCAAAGATATGAAGCAAGGAATTCAGTTAGAACACTAATATTCATGCACTGTTTCTGTGCAAGTTTAACAAGTAAACTGATTTTAATACAGAATTATAGCTAGTTAAGGACTCTTTTTGAATATCAAGATCGAGAAGCTAAGTTCGACTGGCTCAAAACAATGAACAGAAAGAAAGGCAGACCACATTTTGTGAGTAACAAGAAAAGCAAATGCTATACTTCAGCTCATGCTAACAAACTTTTCCAACAGAGGCGGCCAAGATTTGAAGTTTATGGGTTCGGGATTGTAGTTCTCTTAAGTTACTAGATTCTAAATTAATAATTTGTAAATATTTAATGACTCTCTTATGACAAATACTAGGTTTGGAGAAAAGCTATTGATTTCAACCCGAATCTGTAACCCGTATTCCAGCTCCGCCCCTGTCTTCTAACAACCCTAGTGCTAGCTAGATCTATCCTCACATAGGTACGGACAATGAAGTTACGTTCGTAATTCATGATTAGTGGTGGCGAAAAGGTTAAAAGAAAATAATTTTCCACCCATATTATCCATTAAAATGGGTATGAACTTTTTAAAAACGGGTCAAATATGAATAAAAACCATACTGTCCGCTTAGAAAAGGATAACTAATGTGTTTAACTTTTTACATTTGTAAAGCCTCAAATTGGGGGTTCCCTAAGTACGTGAGACTAGGAATTCTCCCAAAAGTGATCATATTATCCATATGATCCGCCTTTTAACTTGTTTTTTTCCGTATTAAATATGGTTGGGTCGGATAATTTATTTGTTTTTTGCATTACCCGTTTTCGATCTGTCCATCACCGACCCAACCCGTCAAGTGATTGTAATTCCTCTTAAAAGTTACAAGCAAGATCTCTCTTCATGTGATTTGACTCCTCTTGGAAGTTACTACCAAATCTTTCTTCATGTGATTTTCTTTCTTCAAGGTAGCTTCTCTATAGAACTTCTCAAACAAGACTTAGGAGGTGGCTAATATCCAATATATTATATACCTATACTTGGAACTAATTAACTTAGTTGGTTCTCAACAAAATTACCTTTATTTAAAGAGCTAACTACTTCAACCAACATTTCTTTACATATAACTAACTAATTCTTAGCTTCTGTCCTCCTCTATTGAAGACAAGTATAACCAGTAAACAAGATTTTCAACATCTTTTTACCACATTTTCCTTTTTCAAGATTTTTTTACCGCATATGCAGGGCGTATTGCTTCGTTAAGATTAAAGGGGGAGGACCGAAAGAAGAAGAAATATAAGTTAAATTAGAACACAGTGACAGCAGCAACACTTGGAACAACTAGTGTTTACAACTGTAGTAGCTGTAAAGTGCATGTTTTCCGAGTTAAGGATGATACAGTTGACAGACGAATTTGGATTTGGAGTGTTTATTTTAGATCAACTTATAGCAGGGTAGCTAGAGTGTTGGAAGCGGGTTCGCCCGAACCTAGTAGCTTTGGTTCGAACCATGTGTTTGTCTTAAAAAAATCCATTAAATATGTATAAATTATTAATCTAGAACTCAGTAACTCGGTTATTTAAAACGATTAGAATGCCGAACCTTTAAGCTTGTAATCCTGGCTCCGCCTCTGACTTGTAATTACATTAGTCAATAGACATTTTATCAAGAAGAATTACGAACAACAAAGACGATTACATCTTGAAGTATCTACGTTAAAGCTAGATCAGACACAAGACATTAGCCAGCATAGAACTATTATACAGAGATTTTATTGAAATAAGTACCTGAAAGCCAGCAGTATACAAATATGGAAAATTTATCGTAGCTTCTAAGTCGCCACTGAATGCTGTCCAAAGTAGCAAAATTGGTGTACATATTATACCTGCAGAGAGTTTCACATTGTCAAATCAGGCAGATTGATGTCCTTATCGATCCGATATACACAGAGTCAATATAATGGTAGCATTTTCTTACCATTACACCACATCAGGCCAAAGCTGTTAAGGCCACTGGATTCTCCTAAATTAGAGAATTGGGAACATATTAAAAAAAGTTGTCGATGAAATTCAAGAAAAGACATCGCAGAAGAAATAAAGCAAAAAACTAAAGATACCAATGTTAGCTATACAAGCCAAGTATACTGCTGTAGTTATGTTGGAGACGAGAACGATAGTATAACTATAGTAGTCAAATGACAGGTCTCGAGCTCCAGCAACAAACGCGCCAAGTATGATAATTCCTACACTGATGAGACCCTTGTAAGTGTTTTCATAAAGACACCAAATTAAAATACTATGTAATAACTAGGTACATTTCTTCATATCTGTGTATATATATATGAAAAAGGAAGTTATAGCTAGAATGATTTCTCACCATGTAACAACATATGATGAATGTTTTTTCCCTGTCAAAAAATACTCTGCTAACATTGTGAAAAAAACAGTTGTTCGTCTCAAAGTGGTATACATAGGAACGCTAATTCCACGAATGGATTCCATAGATACCAGCTGCCAGCGAAAAGAAAAAATTGCAGATTTTACTTAAGAAACAACTGAAAAGCTAAGAAGAAACACTACACATTAAGAATATCAACCAGGAGAATTAATACTTACCATGTAAAGCAAATATGATAATGCGACAGGAGTACAATGAAGTACTGTCTTAAATGGTACAAGGTTTGTCGTGTGCTTAACCACAGTATGTGAATCCTGAACTGTGAAAGATATAAATTTCCAGCGTCTCAAAGCATAGAGAATCAAACTTGAACTTAGCATCTGCACATTATATTAAAAGTTGCTTTACCTTACAAGCATGAAATTATCAAATCTTGCTTTCCTACAAATTCAGTATCGTTCAACTAAATGACAGTTCAGATTTTAGCACTATCTTGGTCTAATGAGCGATGAACACTGCACTTCAACGATTCAAAACGGGAAGAATTTTGGATCAAGAAAATTATATGACTAGACTGATTAAGGTTCACAATGCTTTTCAAGATCATGTTTGCTAACATGCTATTAGAAGGGCAGCCCGACGCACTAAGCTCCCGCTGTGCACGGGCCTGGGGAAGGGCTGGACCACAAGGGTCTATTCTACGCAGCTACCCTACATTTCTGCAAGAGCTGTTTCTACGGCTCGAACCCGTGATCTCCTGGTCACATGGCAGTAATTTACCAGTTACGCCAAGGCTCCCCTTCTTGCTAAAACGGTGTTATTCAAGCCAAAAATACACCAATGCATAAGACACACACACACTCTAAGATTTACATAGGAATGATTATCACCAGGAGGCTGATAGAGCTAAATCTATCATTTCCGCGACACGAGCTCATAATCTAAAGTCAAATATTTTACTCCCTCCGTTCCAATTTATGTGAACCTATTTGACTGGGCATGGAGTTTAAGAAAAAAATGAAGACTTTTGGAATTTGTGGTCCTAAACAAGTCAAAATGGGGCCCAGAGTATTTGTGTGGTTATAAAAGCTTCTCATTAAGGGTAAAGTTGTAAGTTTAACCTGAATTGTTACCAAATTTAGAAAGGGTTCATTCTTTTTGGAACGGACCAAAAGGAAATAGGTTCACAAAACTGGAACAGAGGGAGTAGTTAGAATGTGAAGAATCTAGTTGTCTAAAATGCTTAAATTGGTAAGACAGAAAGTACTATGTGGCGAATTGTCAAGTGAGTTACTGGCAACAATCCCTACTACAAAAACAGGAATTAGTGACAAATAAATAGAAAAATCTGTTACTAATCCGATTTAGCAACGGATTAGTGACAGATTATCAAGAAATTCTATTAGCTATGAATGATTTAGCGACAGATCAGTGATGGAGTTCATAGCTAATTCCAATATTTTTATTTTTTTTCGTAGTGAATACAAGATAGATAACTTAGTGAAGCATGTACAGCAGATAATTAACAGAATCAGACTTCAGTTCAAGTAGGTAAAATATGCAGAAAGAAACTTCCACATTTCTGTTGAAGAGAAAGCACACATAAAGATAACATAAAAGACATATTGCTAATATAGATAATTGTTAGAAGTTTTCATCAGTTTGATTTTTGCCTGTATCTAAGGATATTGCATATGTGCATGGCTGCTGTATGCAACAAAAGTGCACAACTTTTCTTTATACCATTTTTCCCTATGTTGCTCGGATACAGGTGTGGGTACCTGCTACAGGTGCGGATCTAGAAGTCTGAACTTAAATTATTAGGATTTGGGAATAAGAACAGGAGTATGAAGTACTGGTGTTAAGATACGGTAAATAAATGTCTACTGCGACTCATATAAGTATTCATTTTTAAAGCTAGTATGATTAAATTCTTTGTATACACTTAAGAATAATATTTCATTCATAAGTTATCTTGCATAATAGCAAAGTATTCTAGTACTTTATGTGATTATTTATATGACATAAACCCAAAATAAAACCAAATTGGCCATAGGTGTAGTAAAAGCAAATCCAGAGCAAGATCCCAAACCCACATACAAATCGTGTCGGATCAACATAAAGGTGTGCGACGAGGATTTGAAGGATCTGAACAACATAGTTTTTTATTGACACAATAGATACCTAACCAACATATTTATGCGATTTTTTTATTAAACTTTAATTAACATGATAGATACCTAACTAACAGTACAAATCATGTGGATAATTTTGTATCTGAATAAATCTAACATAAAGTAGTTACCTGAAAAAGTGTGATCACATTTGCGCATGGAAATTTATAAGATGAAAGAGCTGCCTTATTGAACAGGACCAAGAGAACTGCCAAAAATAAATGCATATATAAGAAAATTGTATAATAAAAGAAAATTGAAGCATAGTCATAGATTCATAGTGCTCACAAAAGATCAAATATAATTCTTTACACATTTTTGAGAATGGTAATTAGGAAGATCAAATTCTAAGTACATTGTCAATACAATATTGTAGTCCCCAATCATAATAAGCACCAAAAGAAGAAAAGCAAGCTACAATTAAATAGAAAAGATTTGTTTGTTCAGAGGTTTTTGGTAAACCCCATATATGAATTAAAAAGAAAAAAAGAAAAAATAATTAAATCCGTGAGGTGATGCTTGTCGTCATAACAATGTTTGAATACAAATTTGCCATGTATCATGTTCGAAACTCGGTACATCACTATACTCGTCTCCACTTAAATATCAAACTTTTGTCTGCGACAGAATTCGAACATGTAACGTGCCACTAGATTAAAGTCCCGGGGGCATGCATCATATATTATATATAGCAATTATTTTTGTGCATGTTCTAATTGCAAACTTGTGACAAGGAAAAGAGATATACTATCACAAATAGGCTGATTATAAACGTTCCTGTTAAACATAAAGGAGAAGAAATTCTTACTCTTTAAGTCTAAAGAGATCTTAATTTATTTCTTTTTCTTCTCCTTTGACATAAAAGATTTTGAGATATACAATCCTTTGCAAAATACTTTAAACCCATAACTAAATCTTCCGATGGGAACCTTGGAGCAACTATAATTGTGTGACCTAATCACGGGTTCGAGCGGTAGAAGTAATCACTAATGTTTGCATTAGGGTATGCTGTCTACATCACGCCCCTACATCACGCCCCTTGGGGTGCGGCCCTTCCCCAACTCCTTCGTGAATGCGGGATACTTTGTACATCGGGTTGCCCTGCCTATGACTAAATACTCGAATATACATGAAAGAATCCAAGAGGAAAAAGAGAAGAAGAAGAAGAAGAAAATAGACTAACCAGCACAAGCCATGTAACAGATGGCAACATAAACACCTTTTTTGGTCATGGCTGCAGGGCTTCTCTTGCCAAACACCGGCAAGTTTTGTGGTTCAGTATTCTTTGATGATTCCATGGATACCATTGTTGAGTGAGAATAGAAGTTGAAAAAAGAAAAGCAGAAAGTGACAGAGAGAAGTGTTGCACTTTGACAAGAACTGAGACTTCACTTGGCATTACTTAAAATGGAGGAATATTGCCGTTTCAATAGAAAAAAGTAATTATGGAGGGATGTTTGAGCTTTGTGATTAGAAAACTATTTTAGATGTTGTATTTTTTCGGACTTTGCATGAATACTGGATGCTTAATGCGTTCGGCTATCCTTGCACGCAAGGCCAGATTTAGGTACAAATTATGGGACACGTGAACCTATGGATTTTTTTGCAAAACTAGGTATTTATATATATAATTTCTAGAATTGGTCTAATATTATTTGTTGGCCCTATGCTCTCAAAAAAAAAAAAAAAAATTAAATGTACACGTGGTTAAATATTAAGTTTACCCAAAAAAGAGGGATGAATTTACACAATTGTTTTTTTAATGGTACACCCATGCTTGCACGAGTGGTATTTTTTATATTTCAACTAACGGAGACAAAATTAAGTAGTGCATTCAGAAAAAAAAGACATATGGTGCAAATAATCGAAAATTTGTCTACTAAAAGCAAAATTCGTTTAATTATTTTTAAAAGGTGAAATATGTCTACAAAATTAACGGGACAAAATGTATATATTAGTAGTCTCCGGAAAAATCATACCAAAAAAAAAACGGAACTTTTTGATATAGAGTATTTTGTTATAAATATAGTTTTATTTAAGGTGAATGTCTATATTTTAGAGAGATTTTAGGGAATTTACTTTGGTGGCTAAGTCACTCTTTCCTATAAATAGAGGGGTTCTATTCCACTGTAATTGACTCCAAAATCAATAAGAATTCTCTCTCCCTATTTTTCTCTGCAATACTCTTTTCTTCTTTTATATTGTTTCATAACACGTTATCAGCACGAGACTCTAACCAATGAGTAGAAGTTTTTGAGATTGAGCATAATGATTGTTAATTGTTCCGCCAATTGTTCCACGAACTTCCTTCATGATTAAATTCTGGATTTAAGGTAAATATTTTACTTTATTTTTCTCTTTTAAATTCTTGACATTCTATAATTTGATTTTAAATACAAGCAAAGACGATAAATTTTGATTATAACTCTAATGGAGTTGGAAAGAAATTATAACCATCCAAAGTGGTAAAAATTTTATGTCTTGCCATGATCATGTTCATGTATGATTGTGGGCAAAGAATTGGAAACCCGTCCCATTGAATTTGCTTCATTCTCATTCCCTTAAGAGAATGTGATAGCAGTGTGATAAGTCTGAAAGAAGATAAAATTATTACTATGAATGTATCAATGGATGTGGACGCGTCAGTAGACGAAATTATAATCGTCATCATTCTGGTAATGAGAACAATAAGGATTCTCAAAATAATCCTTCACTTTGTGAAAATAATATTTGTCATCGATTTGACATGGGATTTTGTAAAGCACATATAGATTATTATGGTCCATTCATGATGTGAATGTGACAACATGTGATTCATGAATACATATTCATTCTAGGAAGAATATGAACGTGCTAGTGGTAGTGAATATACCACACTCACCTCTAGAATGATGTTTTAGGGGAAATAAAAAAATAATGTCATTATTATGGCATGAATGGTCAATGGTCACATATCTATTGTACACCAAAATATTTTGGCGGTGTGATTATTAAAGGGCAACAGTAATGCAAGGAACAGATCTTGTATAGAATTCTGACCATGACCATAATGGTATAACTTTCTCTTTGAAAGAGATATTCACAATATGGATGTTGATGAATATGTGGTAGTACCAAATTAATTGAGAGCTCTGAAAGAGCCAATTATTATTATTTTGGAGAAATAAAATTGATTATCAATAAGGCATTGCGTTGTAGTAAGTCTCAAAGAAACTTATTGAGTTTCTAAAGTATTCGCGAAAGCGGTTGGTTATATTGAGACTATAAATAAAGGAAAGATTTAATATCTTCTATTACTACAACTTGTAGCGGGGTAATATGTATATGAAAAGTTATCCGATTTATTCTCCAGTTTGTACTACACAAATAAAAAAAAATGCCACATTAAAGTAAAAAGTTTATTGATATAAAAATCCAAATCATAATAAACTTGGAGTTTATTCGTAATTACACACGTCATGGCGTAAACCTAAAGTTTATCAATATTGATAATTTATTCAGTTGGCATAATTGGTTTAGCCATGTTAATTTAAGTATGATGTGCAAAAATAAAAGAGAATTCACAGGGGTAAATATTAAAGAACTAGAAAGTTCTTTATGAATTTTCTTATGTTGCATGTTCTCATTAATTAATAGATCAATTAAAATTGGGATTCAATCCCATGAATACTGAAAATATCAAAGGTGAATATGGGCCCATTCACCTGCCATGTATACCACATAAGATGCATCTATGAGATGGTTACATGTGCGATTATTATTAACCCGCAACCTGATGTTTGCGAGGTAACTTGCTCAATAATTTAATTTAGAGCATAATTTCCAGATTTTCTATTCAAGATAGTTTATCTTGATAAGTTGGTTTACATCACAACAGGTTTAGCAAGATGATTTATTGAGTGCCTCCACTTAATAGTTAAATGATTGCTTATGAGAACAAAGTTATATATATCAGTTTGATATACGTTATATACGAAAGTATATTACATTCTCCCCTCGTAAGTGCTTCAGGGTCAGGAACCAAATAATTCTATCGTATTATTATTAATGTGCAGTGTGTATTTTAATTAGCACCAAAACGTACAAAGATGGGTTTCCAAAATTGAGGAAGCAAGTTAGTTCTTCTAACATGAGGGGGAGACATGATAAACAATTGAGAAAAGTTACGTGGAATGAATTATCATTTGCATATCTAGATCCTCGAATGCGATAATATGAACTTGAAGTTCATGAAAAAGATAATTCATTTTCAATATATTGCAAAGCATGCTAGACGCACTTGCTGACTCAAAGAAAGTAACTATATTCTCACTGTAAATACTCCTATTGGAATAAGTCCTAGAAGGACAAAATCTATGATACGCTTAAAGCGTATAGACAAATCAGTTTCAAATAAAATTCTTGATAAAGAAGATGATAAAATGATCAAAATGATCATAATAAAGAGGCAAGTGCTCTAGAAGAGTACATGACATAACATTTCATAAGGTCAAGTACCTGAAATCAATGAAGAGATCTCTATGTTATGTCATTATGAAAAATTATTGGAACCCATATGAAATGTTCGTCGACGACATCTATCATAGCGCAAAGAATAGACGAGGATCTTAAGTCTGTCAAATACATACACAAAATATTGGCCAAATGGAAGAGACACAATTAGAATAGAATTGGTTATTATAAAAGACATGTAGTTTTGAACATTTAGTTCAAATACTTGAAAGTATAAAGTCAATGATATGTGCAATCAATTTTCGATAATTATTTGTCTAGCATGACATGAAAACTTGATATGTATCTAACTAAAGTCTATTATATGACCTATATGACAATCCATGAAGAATTTAAATTGCTTAAAGCATATAAAATTCTTGGTCATGAAGTACTACATCCTAAGTACAATTTGTGCACATTTGTATCTTGCTATAATTATAAGCATGATAATGTGATAGCGAGAATTTTCAAGGTGCAACATAATCATTGGAGTTAGTATGGGTGATTTATTCACCAAATCCTTGCTGACGTCAACCTTCAAGAAGCTAGTGCACAAGATTGGGATGCGAATGCTCAAAGATGTGAATTGATGCTCTCATCAGGGGGAGTTAATACGCGTTGTACTCTTTTTCCCTTACAAGCTTTTATCCCACTGGGTTTTCCTTGCAAGGTTTTTAACGAGGCAATCAAAAGGCGTATTGTTAGATATGTGTATTCTTTTTCCCTTAGTAGAATTTTTTTTCCACTGGATTTTATTTTAGTTAAGGTTTTAACGAGGCATATTATCTATTGAATAGACATTCAAGGGGGAGTGTTGTAAATAGAGTTTTATTTAAGGTGAATGTCTATATTTTAGAGAGATTTTATGGATTTTACTTGGTGGCTAAGTCACTCTTTCCCTATAAATAGAGGGGTTCTATTCCATTGTAATTGACTCCCAACTCAATAAGAATTCTCTCTCCCTATTTTTCTGTACAATACTCTTTTCTTCTTTTATTTTATTTTAGTGGATTTATTTTATACAAATTCGAATTAGTCAAGACTAGTTAATTTTGAATATTGAATAATTAAATTCAAAAAGAATAATAGAAGTAAAGTGGCACTTCCTGTAAAGTGAGGGTCCACTTAGATATTTGGCAGCCAGAGATTCTATTATTTTGGACTCTTCTTGTTTTGGTGTTTTAATCTAATACAGATAATTGTTAATTGCCACCATCAAATTTGGCATTTTCCCTATTGGGTTTGGCCTCGTGTTCTATTCCACTCGTAAGTGAGCTTCCTAGGCTTCAAAAAAGTAAAGGCTAGTCCAAAATTTTACTCCTGTTATTTTAGTTCTGTGGTTGTCTTTTTCATCATGTGCCTAACTGAATATAAAAATAATGTGAATAAAGTACAATTCAGTTAGTGGCACATCTATGGCTCAATTATGGGTTTATGTTACTTTGTTATTAAAAAACCAAGGAGAGCCTTGAAGCTATGATAACGTTATTTCTGTTTGACTTATAGGTCACTAGTACTATTGTTTGTATTAGGGTAGGTTTCTACATCACACCCTTTTGGTACGATCCTTCCTCGAACCCTGCACAAATACAAATGCCTAGTGCACCAGGATGCCCGTTATTAAAAAAATGATCTTTTTTAAATAGATTGAAACAACTTTGTTGTAAAATTAATAATTAATGGCAAATCTTACAACTCTTCCTACTCATTGTTGCATACGAATAAAAATCTATATTGGTAGATTAAGATTGGAAGTCTACATATAAGGTTTTAGGATCTCTTAGTTGTGGGAGGCCTTTTGGGAAAAATTATGCAAGCTTGACCGAAACGGACAAAATCACATCATGTTAAGAATACACTTAAACTAATTTAGCCCAACATTACTGGAGCGAACTGCATTCAGTCCAAATGATCTCTGTG